AGATGTCCCCACATGGGGTACAGAAACCACGCTCAGCACTTCTGCTGAAGAAGCCGTGTCCGGACAACCTCCCTGAGTAGCGGGGACCAGCTGGATGCGTGGCTGCAGGCTCTGGGCAGTCCTGCCGGCCAGGCATCTCCCGGGCTTGCTTTGTATCCGTGGACCTGTGGCTGTCTCCTGGCCTAAGACGGGAGTGCTCCTGGAGTGGCCCGCGCACACGCCTCTCACCTGGAGGCCCCCCCTGCTGGTCCCCAGGCTCCCAGGGAAGGGTTGCAGTGGTTCTGTGTCCATCTGGCCCACTGCAATGACCCAGGTCACCCGCAGGGGTGGAGTGTGGCAGGCTGTTCACTCTGATCTCTTACCTGTCCCCAGCTGCATCTTCACAGGCCTTAGGGCTAAGAGCCCAGGCCGCAGCTCCTGCCCCAGGGTGAGCCGCCTTGCTCCGCAGTCCGGTCCTGCTCTCACCCGCTTCTCTTCTGGAGAGCCTCGAGCCCACGGAAAAGGAGAGCGCCATCTGACGGTGGTTTGTGATCTTGAATGACCCGGCTGTCAGGAAAAGCCTCACCAGCAGATGACAGGGACAGAGACACCTTCTAACAGAGTGGGGGCAGCACCGACCCACTGGGGCATCTGAGCTGCACTTTTTGAGGGTCCTTCTTTTTAAGAAAATTTTAATTATTCAATATTATTATTATTTAATTTGACCAGACACACACAGGGAGAGAGAAAGGAAAAGTGAGAAAGCAAGCTGCCAAGTCCAGAACTTGAACAGTGGTCGGCCATGAAGAGCGCCTTAACCACCACGCCACCTGCCAGTCCTTCTTTTGCTTTTTTTTTTAAGAGATTTTTGCGGGGCTGGGAGGTAGCCTGATGGTTAAGGGCACTAGACCCCCACATGGCCGACTACAGTTCAAGTCCTAGACCTGGCAGCTTGCTTTCTCATCTCCCCGCCCCGTCCCTCTCTAGTCAAATTAAAATTAATTAAGTTAAATTAAGTTAAATAAAATAATTCTTAAAAATATTTTTTTGCAATAGGGCTGGTGTGCTCACCAGAGAGACAGAAAATAAGAAATCACCCTCCATGGGCCGGCCGGTGGCATGGTGGCTAAAAGGCGCTGGATTCCCACATGGCCGACCACGGTCTGAGTCCTGGACCTGGCGGCTTGCTTTCTCTCTCTCCCTCTGTCCCTCTTTGGTCAAATTGAAATAAACAAATTAATAAATAAAAGTTAAAAATAAAATAATTCTTTAAAAAAACACAAGAAATCACCCTCCAGGGGGAATGGCCATGCCACACCACAATCCCTTCTCCTCCATACTCCTCCTGGGATTTTGGGCACGCACACACATACATGCACCTGGTATATTTTAAGCGGCCGGGTCCAGGACTCAAACTCGACTGCATGGGAGTCCAGCAATGTAACCATTCTGCCATCTGCTGGTCCCATTTGTGGCCGTTTTTAGAAACTGGACTGGAATCCACTGGCGATAGTGCCATGGTGGCAGTCGCACACAGAAACAGAGAGCCCGAAGACTCAGGCTGCTGGAACCCTGCGGTGGGGACGGCTGGTGTGTGGGCAGGTGGGCAGAACCAGGAGAGGGCACAGGGCCTCAGAGGCTGGGCTAAAGCGCATGCAGCTGTTCTGCCGCGATCCTTGCTTTGTCTCGTGTCCTCTGCCTGTGCCTGCCTGCGGCCCCCGCTGGCCGCAGCCCCCACAGGTCCACTGCACACGGTCCTGCTGTCTGCAAAAGCCGTGCTCTGTAAGGTGGCCGCGGACGCTCAACCGCAAATCCCGAAGCGCCCGTCCTGGGGCCGACCACGTTCTCCTGAGGCCCAGTCCCCAGACTCCCACGTGCGCGCCGTGGGGAGACGCGCCCTCGGCCCAGACTGCAGCCCCCCAGGCGAGGCTCACTGTGGCCCACCCGCTCTGGGGCCCGTGGTGGCTTTCTGGTGTCTGGGCTCTGGATGGCCTGCAGCAGCACACTGGAGGCTGCCTAAACAGCGAAGTCCCGACGAAAAGCACACAGTGTGGCACGAAGCACAAGGAGGACCTGGAGCCAGTCTGGCAGAAGGCGGAGGCACGGCCTACACCGCAGTGGGAGGCCACCGCGGGTGCCGCGCTCCAACGGCTCTGCGATGGCCCTGAGCGCCGGAGGACTGCGCTGCTGGCTCCAGGTGGTCGTCCACAGCAGGCGGGCCCTCAGCACCAAGGCCCCGGGGAGAACGGGCTCTGAGCTCCAGTCTGCGCCCTCAGGCCCTTCCTGTCTTCTCTCCGTCCGGGCGAGGTCCAGGGTGGACGGTCTGCAGTTTGCAGCCCCTGCCTTCACGGTCCACTGGTAGCTGCTCTGGACACGCTCTGCGGTGTCTGCTGGGACCGCGCCGTCCTGCGTTCTCCTGCTCTTGTGGCCATTGGTGGTGTGATGCACTTGTGGGGGGACAACTGGTGCTGATCCCACCTGCTGTGCCTCATACACCGCAGCCTTGGCCGGTGCTAGGGGGCCCTGTCACCGTGACCCTCAGACAGTGTCAGGTCATCCAGGCCTCAGGTGTCATGGCTCCCCTCGTCAGGAAAACTCGGTTCCCTACTCCTGTCTTCAGCTAGTCCTGTCCCTCTCTGTGGTCTTCGTGAAACACCCAGAGCAAGCTCACCCAGCGCAGGTCTGGAGGGTGGGGGGGAATCCCAGCATGGCCGCTCTGCACCCTCCAGCGCTCACTGCTCAGAACCGACGGCTACTCCCGCTGACCTCACGTGTGCCCTGCAGAACCCAGTCCCTGCGAGCGCTTCGTCGTCCATGAGGTCAGAGCTGCAATGCCAGCACGCCCTTTGCCTTCCTCCCCTCCCGGATGGCAGCAGGGAAGCAGGCAGCAGAGCCCCAGCTCCAGCCCTCCCGACGCGCACCCCTCACACTGAGCACGCAGCTGAGGGGAAGCCATCCATGGAGGAAGCCCCTGGTTGCAGCCAGATGCTGTTCTGCTCTTCTTCCTCCTGTGGGGTGAGCGGAGTGTGCACGAGGACTTCGGCTGCGTTCCATGGCGCGCGGGAGGGCACCTCTGGCTGGCCGTGTCATAAGCACAAGGGGCTTCTGCAGCACAGACCACGTTTACATGAAAAGGGTATTAACACTCGGGCGTTTGGAGGACATGAGACAAGTGTTAGTAAAAATGAACCAAGTGAAGGGCCCGCGCTGGCAGGGGGATTAAGGCGGCTGAATCTCAGAAGCCTGATTGCAGTTTGCGCTCCAGACCCAACGGCTTGAAATGCCGGGCACGTGGGCACGTGTGCCCCAAACCTGAAGAGAACAGAAGGGGGCTCCGGTGTGGCTATCTCCCGTGGTTGTTTTCCCACTCTCTCTAGTGAACACACATGCCCTGCGGCAAACTCAAAAAGAACTGACCAATCCAGCCTGCCAGTCTTTGTGGTGAGACGGTTTAAAGGCCAGCGGCTGGTGTGGTGGCTGCGACCCTGGAGTCCCACATGGCCGGCAGCAGTGTACCCCAGACCTCATGGCCTGGAAGTCACACCAGGTACATGGGCGTGAGTGCCTAACCCCAGGAGGAGTGAAGGGATGGCAGTGTGGCCATCCCCGCTAGGGAGTGATTTCTCACTCTCTCTCTCTCTGGCAAGCCCACACGTCCTATGGCAAAAACCTTTAAAAAAAAAAAGGGCGGGCAGATGGCGTGGTGGTTAAGGGCAGTGGACTCCTACACGGCTGACCTTGGTTCGAATCCCAGACCTGGCAGCTTGCTGTCTGTTTCCCTCTTTCTCACTCTGATCAAATTAAAATAAAGTTAGACACTTCTTTTTAAAGAAAGGATAAAATTAGAGCTTTCCAGTAAAAACTAGAGTGTGGCACAACTCGGATCCACTACCACGAGCACAGTGCCCTGTGCCTGCCAGCTGTCTTCCTGCCTCCTCTTCCGGGGACTGGTCCTCGGTGTTGCCGACGTGGATCTCGACAGTGAGACGAGAACTGACCTACTAGCACGGTACTGAGCTCGACCACGGTGAAGTCTGCCAGTCATCGCTGACGTGGGCAAGTGGCCGTGCCAGACTCGGTGCTTCCTGTCCCCAAGCAGGCATATTCTGTTGGCGGTGCCCATGCCTAACCCAACGTTCCCCTCTCCCGTAGACTGTAGAAAATTCACCTCACGCTTTCCAGCAAACACCTTCAGAAACAGGGCGAGCAGGGCTGGCATTCAGCTTCCTCTCTCTTAAAACTCGCCGCACAGCGGTGCCACCTGGACCAGCTGCACGGTTCCTGAGGCCACATCGGGCTCTGAGCTGGACCCCTGCTGTCAGGCTTGCAGCCACGGCTCTATCACCCACTCTCCCTGTCCCTGACATGGTTGTCTCGGCACCTCCAAAGCCTAACACCACTTCCTTTTGGTCGATTCGGCTTTATAAAGGGTGTATTCAGTGACATTTGTAGGCATGTACTAACTACCATATTCTTAAAGCTTTATATTCATTCATATCTGCTGACACCAGCAGAGTTTAGAACAGTATGGTTGCCGTCTCACAAAAATAAGCACCTAGGGACAATGCTGCAATTGCTACAGCCCCACAAGAGACTCAGGAAGACAGAGTGCCCACGAAGCCAGGATATGGGGAGGCCAGCAGGTGGCTTAGAGATCAAGACCCTGGATTCCCACATGGCTGACCGCGGTTTGAGTCTCGGATCTGGTGACATGGGCCTGGGTACCCAGGCTCCTAAGAGGACACTAGAGGACAGACTGCCATGTGGCCAAACCCCTGGACGGTGATTCTTATTTTCCCTGTGTCCTGCCAGTGCGTGACCAAAACCTAAAAGCAAGAACACCAGAGTGTGTCACCAAATCAAAAGCGGAAAGAACATTCCACGGAGAGAGGTGCAAGTCAGGTAAGACCTTACTAGCAAAACGGAAGCCGAAACTAAACTTCCACCTCCCTTTCCGTCCCTTCTGCAAACCCCAACCCGAACTCCCACCCCCCAGAAGCAAACAACATCCAGAAGCAAGCTGAGTGAGAGCTTTTTATTCCATTGGTAAAGGGCGGTTTTAAACGAAGGAACACTCATACAACACTGGGTTGTGCATCTGACATTTTCTCTATCTGCACTGATTTTTATTACAAAACCAGAAAAGTAAAAATTCATTACAATACCTGCAGCACAGGGTAACTACCAGTTGCCTAAACAAAAGCTAATTTCTATAAAACCATAAACGTAATACACGGCTTTATGAACAGTCAGAATCCTCTCAGGTAACTGGATATACAGAGTGGCCTATATTAAAGCAGAAACCCCAAAGAACAGAAACAAGGGAAAAAATCGAAGTCAGAACAGTCCATTAAATACTGTGTCCTGACAGTCCTACAAATACTAACACCCACTACATATAAAGGAAACCCTTATCTGTGGTAAAAATCCTGGAGGCCGAGTAGGAAACGTGGAATTAAAAACACAAGTCATCAGAATCCAGCCCAGGGCGGGGCCTACTCTCAGTGAACCCAAGGCAGTGACCGACATGGGGAGGGGCTGAGGGCACACCACCGACACCCTAAACCACTGCATGTCCACACCCAAACCTCGCCGAGCCACGGGCGAGCTGCAACATTTCAATGGAAAGACGTTGAAGACGACAAAGGTTCTTTTCTCCATACCACGCACTGCAAGAAATCTTCAGAAGGCTGTGCTCTGCAGGGGAGACCGCTGTGCTCTGTCCTAAGTCCTACGTGAACGAGCAGAGGCAAGCTTTTTAAATGATACCTATCTGCAAACAGAGGTCACCAGGCACCTCATGTACTGTCCCAGCGTATCTCGATCAGATACAATCTGACAATTTATGGGGACAGTTTTACAAGAAAATATTGAGATTGGCACCAGAGAAATTAAACTCCCAAAACGCGCCTTACAGAACGGCCACCTGCTGCGGGAGCGTCTATGCACACACACCTGACTCACGCTCGAGCCTGCGCCCTGGGGACTTGTCGGGTAGAGGTTCACTGTTTCTGAGAGCTAACGTATGGAACCTTCCAGGCCAGGACGCTCCCTCAGGCTGCGGGCTGGGCCTCAGGAGCCGTGGTGCAGGTGCATGGCGCCCAGCACGGCGCGGTTGTAGCATTCCTCCACTTGCACGGAGCTGGAGTGCTCCAGCACGCTGTTCAGCTCAGGGATGCTCTCGGCGGTGTCCCCAAAGCCATGGTAGTGTCCGTAGTGCAGGTTCTCCCCGAGGTCCTCCACCCAGGAGGGCCGACTGGCTACGCAGCTGCTCGGGCTCCCATTCAGGTGCAGGGACCCGCACATCTCGGCGCCGGAGCCCGCCAGCTTGTCTGTCTCCTCAGGCCCACCGCCACAGAGGGGACCCTGGCTACTCAGGAATGGCAGTCCCGGGACTGAGCCACTGCTAATCCCGTTAGATCCGGGCAAGCACTGTGCATGCCTGCTTTCTGTGCCACTGAGCTGGGTCGCAGAGGGGAAGTCCGAGTGTCCATTGGTGGCACGTCCATTTGTCAGTGTACTCGACACGGAGCTACTGTTTTTCATATCTGCATTGAGAAATACACCTGTCACCAGAATTCAGAACCAGTGGGGAGGAGACAATGTACAATGCTTCACTGCTGCTAGTTTTAAAGGAGTTACTGTTCCTTTTAAACAGACCAGTTCCTTCTGGAAAGCCAAAAATACACACACAAAAGAGGTGCACAGGTGAGCACAACACGGCAGTGGATGGGGCAACACGCTCCGGGCCGGGCAGCGTTTACCACCTGCAGCTGCGGGAAAAACACCACCATGCTGAAAAGCCGTCGGACAGCTGCTCTCCCGTGAAGACTACTTCATTCGGAGAACAGTTTCCAAAATCGCCCTGATGAGGCCTGAACTGAAGGTAAAGTTTTCCGCAAAGGGCTCCAACAAAACACAGGACTCTGCTAGCCCTTATGGTGGGGAAGGAAAAGAAAAGAGGTCAGAGAGGCAGGTGAGGAGGAAGCCGTGTGCAAAGCATCAGGCTGCCGTCTGTTCGAAGCCTCTCTGTTCACCCAGGGCCACGGGTGCAGGCACAAGACCACTTCTGCTAGCCATGCCCAAGTCTCACGGAGCTTTCTGTGAGCGCCCGAGAGCACGGGCAGTGCCGGGCAGCGGCGGCCTCAGCGAGGCCCGGGGACACGGACGTTCTCTGCGCACGTATCAGACCAGCAGCGCGTTCTGAACAGTGTCTTCCGAGTCCAGCAATTACCACAGCTGGGACAGCCAGTTCCTCTCATCAGGTTATGTTCAAAAACCGCGCAGGCGGGGAAAAAGTGTTGGTAGTTTAATCTGCACACACAGCCATTCATGAGGAGAGAATGTCTACGTAAAATGCCCACCACAAAACGTTTGGACACGTTGGGCCATGCAACTGCAAGGTATTTTTCTGTACACTGGAACTCAAGAATGAGTAATCACGTTCACAGGAGTTCAGAGTTGGACCTAAAGGATTTCCTGCTTTGCGATACCCTGTTGTACCTGTCAGCGTTCTGGGGTACCAACACATGGTGTCAAGTACAGAGGAGCTCAGTTCTGCTAACATTTAGAATGGGGTGCGTTTTAGGCACCGCTGGTTACCCTGGCACGCGCCGGGACTCTCGCCTGTGTGCCCTCGCAAGGTCTGTGTGTGTCCTGCATCCCCCACAGCAGAGCATGCTCATGCAATGAACACATTCCATTAATCATCAACTTTTTGGCAACTTCAGCAGCAATTATCATTTAATAGCTGCTGTATTTCTCGTCAGGCTAAGGATAGCTTCTCTATTTGGTTAAAATTCAAGGCTAGAAAGAAGTATTTAAAAAACTAAATATTAAAACCCATCAAAGAAGAGATGAAAACATTTCCAAAAGAAATTATACACACACACACACACACACACGTGTGTGTGTGTACATTTTAAATAAAGCATAAGCAACTGTCTCTACCTGGTAAAATGCACAGGTGTGACAGCAAGCTTGACATCACCCACGCCCACTGTGCGTGCACTGTGCCCTGGCCCAGGCCTCAGCAGCTAAGACCCCTCCATAGTGCCTGTGCTCAGTCCCCTTCTCGATCTCGACATCGAGGGGACCTTGGCCTCACTGTCACCAAGTTTAGTACTCGCACAGGGGCAGCTGACCTGGCTCTGGCTTCCTCCGCACTCTCCCTCCCTCTGCTCTAAGCCTCCTTTCAAGGCTCATGTCTTTTCTTTGCCGATACCCAAGGACATGGCGTGGGTACCGGGGACAGCCAGGGGATGGCATTTCAGACAACACCCACTCTCTTCCAGCCAGGACAGATCCACGCTGATGAGAAGAGCTCTCCTTTAGACAGTCCTTGAGGAAGAATGAGCCTTGGCCCTAACCAGTCTCCAACCAGGACATTTAAAATGTGAAGACAGGGGCTGGCAGGTGGTATGGCGGGTGGGGGGGGGGGACTCCCACATGGCCGACCGTGGTTCAAGTCCTAGACCTGGTGGCTTGCTTTCTCGCTTTCCCTCTCTCTCTTTCTCTCTGATCAAAACCAGAAAATAATAAAGTTAAATAATTTTTAAAAAAGTAATGACACTACCTATATGTGGCTTTCCAAAACTGCGTTACCCTTGAGGACTCCCACATGGCCGACCGTGGTTCAAGTCCTAGACCTGGTGGCTTGCTTTCTCGCTTTCCCTCTCTCTCTTTCTCTCTGATCAAAACCAGAAAATAATAAAGTTAAATAATTTTTAAAAAAGTAATGACACTACCTATATGTGGCTTTCCAAAACTGCGTTACCCTTGAAAATGATCTTGCCAGAGCGAAAACAGACTTGAGGTTGCTTAGAAGAACTTCAAGGACAGCAAGGGGCCTGACTCTGGCAATGCTCAAGGACGGAGGGCAGACTCCTCACACGCCCGCATACACAGCACGCTGTTCCACACCGGGCAGGCCCCTAATAAACAGTGTCGGGTCAGGCAGTGCTGACCAGCCAGCGATGGAAACGTGGAGACTTTCCCCGGCAAGCAATGTACGGGTCCGTGGAAGGGGCTGGGCTTCAAAGCCTGGCTCGTCAACATTATGTTCCAGCTTAGCATTAAGGTAATACCCAAACCCAGGGAATCACATTTGAATAATAATGAGCGCCAACCTCTTATCTTCCCGCAAACACACAGCAATGCTGTGCAGAAAGGGGGCCTTTGGGTTCTGTGACTTGTCCTGGGCCAAGGTCAGAGAGCCCTTGGCTACAGAAAATTCACTCTGTAAATGTACTATCTGATTAGAATTTCCCTTGGAAATCCACCCATTCCATTCCTTTGCCAATAAGGTACTATTGCCCGTGACAAGTCTGTAGCTACCAGAAACATGTATACATTTCGTTTCCCTTTAGTGAACACAAATGATTTCGTGTGGGCTTAGGGGACCAAATACATGGTCTTTTATCCCCATGGAGAATTTGGCATAGGCAGACACAATAATGACACTTCAATGAACATCCTAAATATATTAACATGCTAAGGGAACAGCTTAAATGTTTTCATGATTATTTAAGTTGAAAAAAAGTAAGAAAAAAGCATTAGCTAAGAAGATAGATCTTTTTAGATATTCTAAATGTTAGAAGAAACTGAGCATATGCCTTTTCAAAAGTTGAAAAGATGATCAACTGCTTTTATATACTGAAAATGTTAATGTACAAACATGTTTTGTGAAAGATGGGGTTCAGCATTTTAATAGACCGCGGCATTTCAGGAAGGAAAAGCCACAGCAATCCAAGCGACCAATGATGCTGGGTAGGAGGCCCACCCTGGTGGGACTTAGTGACAGGTCACACCGCAACACGAACTAGCTCTCAAAATCCACAGCTCATGGCCTTCCTCTTTGCTGTGTCTGGCTTTGAAAATATCAGTGTAAGTATGTTTGGTATATTCACCCAACAGTCACAGGTCAGGGAGCGAGAAGAGTAAACCTCATTAAAAATAAGCAAGGCACATTAAGAAAAGCTTCAAATCAAAATAGAAAGATTGCACTTGTATTTTTCATATCCATAGAGTGCACCCAACACACTTAGCCTTATATCTACAAACGCACCCAAGATACGCAAATGAGAGTAAAACATTTTTTAAAGACACTGAACGATGAAGTGCAGAGGAGTCTGAGAGGTGTTAGAAATAACAGGCGTACTGATTCCTGCAACGACACGGGGTCTGCATTGCCGAAACAGTATAGACCTCTATTTCTTTTGGTCCAACAGAACCACTCTCTTGCCGTGTGGTGTCTTCGACCATGGGGTTGTTGTTGCAGCTAACAGGGAACTGTCCACTCCCACCTGTTACAGCAGCAAACTCTCTGTCGACGTGCATTTTGTCAGCATCGTCTTCCATCTCGCCGTTCACTAGTGGCACGGGGTAATCGAAGCTTGGAGCTGCAGAGAGAACAAAGACCACTTTAGCTGCTTTTGTGGGAATAACACTGCTTTGCTGTTTTTGGCTACAGGGCATGTGTGCTCTAGAGTATGGGGGTGGGGTGGGGTGAGAAAGCACCCCCACCTGGGGGGATGGCCACACTGCAATCCCTTCTACATTTTCCTCTCAAGATTTTGGCATGTACATGTGCTAGTTGTGTTTTTCTTTTTTTTTTCTTTTAAATTATTTTATTTACTTATTTTAATTTGGCCAGAGAGGGATAGAGTAAATGATAGAGAAGGAGAAAGATAGAAAAAGTGAGAAAGCAAGCCACCAGGTCTGGGACTCAAACCAGTTTACCATGTGGGGGCCCAGCACCCTTAACCACCACGCCACCTGCCAGCACTCCCCAAGACTTTTTCTTTTTTGAGAGTTTTTTTGCTATAGGGCATGTGCGCTCACTCAACAGAGAGACAGAGAGACAGCAACCACCTCCCAGGGACGATGGCCACGCCACCATCCCTTCTCCTCCATTCTCCTCTTGGGATCTTGGGCATGCACGCACATGCGCCTGGTGTGAGTTTAAGCCACTGGGTCCGGGACTCAAACCACAGTCAACTACATGGGAGTCCAACGACACAGCCATTATGCCAACTGCTGGGCCCGAGGTTAAAATTTCCTATTCGTGGATATTATCAAGGAGAAATGAGAGAAAAGCTGAGTCAACACTGCAGCCTGCGTGGACAGTGCCTGAAATGGCATCTGACAGAGCACCAGCACAGCAGGAGTGAAGTCTGGCCTGAGGGAGCTGAAGCTGCCGCAGGCCCTTGCTCTGCATCTGAGCGCTCACGACTCTCCCCAAGTTAGACCAGGTGAGTCCGACAGGGCCGGCGCTCCCGTGACGTAGCCTGAGGGCTTCTGTTTTTGCCAGGAAGGGCCCTGGACGTCACTGCCGGGCTTGCAGGCCTCCACGAGCTCTTGCCTACTCGCTTCCAGGCTCTAGGCGCAGCTGCTGTGGCGAGCGGTGCCGTTGCAGTCCTGCAGCTTCAGATTCCCAGGAAGCGAGAGGCTTGGGAAAGGGCTCCCGGGGCTCGCGGAGACCCTGCCAGGGTGCTGCCCCCGTGTGCACGCACATGCAGCCTCGGTGATTGCAAAGGTCTGACCCACCACAGCGCCAGGTTATAACTCAGCTAACCAAACCCCTGCAGCAGCCTGCATCGCCCTGCGCATCCTTCCTGCCAGGAGCCCTGCACCGCTAACACCCCACTGCACGCAGCTCTCCACAGTCCTGGTTCTTAGCTCAGATAAACACTTGGAATCTTTTCGGGCCAAGCACACACACAAATGACAGCTCCGAGTGCTACAGATTTCCTGCACATAAACCTCAGAAAGTAGGGGGAGCTTGACGCTGTGGTGCAGCAGTTCCCGGTTGGAGATGCGCACGACCTTCAGCTACACGTGCTACGCGTGCCAGTTCCGGACCTCTCTCCGGCAGTGCAGGACCCGAAGGCGGAGGCACAGGTCAGGGGAGCCTGAGCTGGAGTGACAGGCACGTGGTAGCATTGGACTGTACAACCTGCACAGCTGGGAAACTGGCACAAGGCCGGACACGGTCAACACGGCTTCATGGGCCAGCGACAGCGACCAGAGTCCTTCAGCTCCTCTCCGCTGTGCTGTCCTGCAAGGCACCAAACTGGGGACAGACAGCGCAACCATCACTATCAACGACTTGCTTCCCCAGAACCAGTCTACGACTGGGCGGAGGAGTAGAGGGGCAGCTCCCCTGGGTGCAGATGAGGTTGTGCTCAACCACCTGGGCACTCCCCACCTCTCCGCACTCAGACGTGAGGGCCCGTCAGTCCATGCGACCTGTGGGCCAGCCTGACGAGATGGACAGCTCTGGCAAGTGCAGAGAACACTCCCGAGCCTACGCATCCAAGCTCTGTTCTTTGCTTTTTTCAAAAAAGTACTGCATTTTTGTAAGACTTAAAAAATAGTATTTCAAACTGTACAGCCACCAGGACAGGCACAGCTATCGCAAACGCACACCCTTCACGTGGCATCTCCGTTTTTGCAGCGCTATTCCCACCATCGCCAGCGTCAGCTTTTCCCTTTTTCTTCTGGTACCTTCTCTGGCTTCTCTGCAGGGGTCTTTTTAGGCTTGGGCTCTCGCCTTGGGGAGGTTTGCAGACCACCTTGCAGATCTCTGTAGTTCGTCCTTCCCCTTGGCTTGATGTCCTCTGGCATGGGCACAGTGGTGGTGATGGAGGGACTAGGCAGACGCGGGGATGCAGCAATACACAGGCTTTGGTGGGTCCAGGGGTCCTCACGTCTTTTTCTTCACTGCTCCAGGTCTGGTTTTTTTTTTTTTTTTTTTGGGGGGGGGTGATCTGGAGGCCAATGTTCCTTGAGGAAAGCGGCACCTAGACATGCCATGTGCCATTTCAGACTCCAGGGGGCAGGACGCCGTGGTGCCGGAGGCCACGTGCAGCGCAGGGTGCAGGCTGTGTTTCCTGCTCTCATGTAAGAAACATTTGAATGTTAAAGACACTTTCCATGAAAAGGAAAACTTGCTGACGGTAGGAGTGTGCCCCCCGCCCCCCGTGAGACACAGTGTCTAGAACAGCACCTCCTTCCGAGTGAAGCCTACTTTCTAGCAGAAAAAAAAACACATGAAGCGAGAAAAACCACACCAGGAAGACTGCCCAGAGCACTGGGGAGACCAGGAAGGCGGCACGGAGCAGCAGAGGACGCCAGGCCTGAGGCCACGCAGGCCGCTAGGGGGCGACGCTGGGAGCCATTCAAACCAGACTGCAGGAGAGTGGGAGGCAGGAAGCGTTCACAGCCACAAGGAACGCTGGAACAAAGCCGCAGTGCTGGTTTTAGACATGCACACGGATTTTCAGTAACAGGGTTAAAAACAAAGGCTTCCCTATCTTGCAGACAAGAAACATGACTAACACGTTAACAGACATGCTGGATCCTCCAGATCTAGATCTCGCAAGGCCTTTTCTAAAATCTGCGTCCCCAAAGTGACCCGGTTTTACGCCAGTGCCCTCCTGTCCCTTCCCGAGTACCCACAACGGAGGCGTGCTCAACCACCAACCAACAGGCGGGAGGCCGTAAAGCTGCAGCCACACTAAGTGCTGTGATTTTTACAAGCTGTGCAGTGAAAATGGGCCTCTCAAAGTGTTAACCCTGAACTTGAACTGCTGCTTTTCACAACCCAAGATCACGGCCTGGGCACCTCCTCCTGCGGGCCCACTACACATAACGAGGTGCCTTTGGGACAGATGTCTACAGACACTCAGAAAGTGGGATGTCTCCCCCCAAGGCTGTCCACTTCTTTCTTAAACTTGGAAAGGAAGGTGTTCTCTCCATTTTCCTGCTTTACATACAGCAAAAGGGGAGATTTGGGAACGCTTCTGAAAACGGTCCTGACTTGTGTCCTCACCCCTCCTGAACGACAAAGCAGGCATCTGGTGGGAGGGCAGACTTCTATCACATGTCAAACGCTGCCCTAGAGGGAGACCTACCTGAGACTCGCTCTATACCTTCAGCCCTCCCCGAGGCAGGGCTGCTAGGTGAGACCAGTGCCTACCAGCGTGGCCGAGAATCCTCCCTGCTGACCTCAGACCAGACCTGTGCCAGGGGATCGTACAAGGTCAACTCTGGTCCGCACCTTGGTTTCCCGTAACTCAAAGGCTGGACAAAGGGCCCTGAGACCAGTGTTTCAGCAAGACTTGACACGACACGGACTACTCCAGGTCAAGTGCGAAGTCTTCAAACTAGGAGGCCTCACCTAGCTTTAAAAGTAGTGCAGGGGTCAGCTGGTGGTGTAGACCAGGTAAAGGTGCTGGACTCCCAAGTGGTTGAGAGGGGCGATTTCTTCCTGTCTAGCTCCAACACCGACAAGTTAAACTCCACTACTGTGTCCCACCACTGAGCACATCTTACTCAATTTTCTTGGGTCCCACTAAATTCAAGAGCACTCAGGATCAAAATACAGGTTCTTCTACTCCGAGGTAATCTTCTGTAGAGCCTGGACCCCTGCCAAGGCTGGAGTTCCAGCAGAGGGTGGAGACGGTGGAGGAAACATTGAGAAAGAACTGCTCCAGAGAGGCCAAGGGGTCTGGGGTCTCATTCGGAAACACGGAAGGAACTTGCAATTTGAAACTGTTCTCAGGCATGGCTGCGAGTCTTGGTTTTGTTTCTGCTGGGGCAAAAGTGCAGAAAACAAGTTCGTGCACACGATTCACTGAATCAAACAGTGAACGTGTCAGTCTGGTCTGCGAGTGTAGCTCGAGTGGTATCCGTACAATCCCACAGCTTTAGGGATGGGGACAAAGCGATCGCTCATTACTTGAGCATGATTAGGCACGTTCTCTCACTCTGGCCATATTTTGAAAAATCGCTGTTTACTGCAAGCGTAAACAGTAGAAACCTCAGAAGTGGTATACTGCACAAAGACCCAGAGGAAGCCGTAGAGCTCACCTCTGGGAGGATCTCTGGACTGTAAGGGGCACAGATGTCTGTCAGCACAACTCCACAGACAGGAAGGGTCATGCTGTAACCCTCTTCCAATTCTCCACGCGTCCCGTCAGGACTTGGGGGCACGGGAGCACGCATGTCCACGGAGGCTCAAACTGCAGCCCCGATTGGGCTTGTGGGAGCGGCCCCCACACACAGCACTTAGCCACTGTATTATAGTGCTGGTCCAATTCGAGCTCTTGAACCTCCTATTTTAATTCACCCTGGAAGAAGGGCTAAGAAGGTACCAATGCTAACTCTAAGCCATGTTGCAGACACTCCTCCTAAAAGGTGTTTCTATATGAACGCCTACATATTCTGAGTCCAATAGCATGACTTCTGTCAACTGTGGTGTCAACTCAGCGTCTGAGATGTGACGTCACACACCCTTCCTGTGGCACCCACCTTCCCACTACCACACTGTAGGGCACTGGGTTAGTTCCCAACTTATCCCACCTCTAGTCCAGGCCGCGATCAAATGACGGCGACTGCTCACTCGGAAGGCAAATTCTCACTCAAGGGGTGGCATTCTTTCCTACCCAGGATGACTGACATTCCAACAACCCAGTGTGGTGGGTCATTCCAACACTGACGAGGACCGTGGACAATGTAAACCGACTGTAAGCCTGCTGCTGCAGCTGTGGTCCCGAAGTGCGTCTGTCTGGCCATCCTGAGCAAACAGCGCTAAGTGGAACAGCAAACCCACAGCCAGAAGCCCAGGCTGGGCTGACACTGCCACGCTGGTCACCAAATCCAGCCGTTCAGGGCGCTGTCCTCTCTCCAGGTTCAGGTTCAGGTTCGCACTCGTGCCTGACCTGCATTTTGATACTGATGTGACTTTACACAACATGCTTTACATAAGCTGTAACTTCCACCCAGAGTTTATATAAAGGCAACTGAAAAAGGCCAAGTTGTCATTCATTTAACATCTTTTACATGAATGCAGTCTCCAAGGGGCGCTGACTCCGACGTAGAATACTGGGAGTCTACCGCGAGCAGAGGACTACTTGCTGTGGGAAGTGGCTGTTCTCAGACTTAGATCCCAAAGTTGGAAAAAAACGTTGAGTGTACCTCACGGTGACCCCACTCCAAGAGGTGGCTCAGCCCGGAGCTTTCTAAGGTACGTGCTTTCTTCAGTTCCAGGAAGACAGAACGGCAGTTTTACTAGTGTGGTCCATGCTAGGTAACTACATATGGTCAAAATATCCTAGGCACATTAAAAAAAAAAGCCAAAACAATTTGAACTCTTCTGAATATTTTTTATACATGAAGTTATTTTTTAAAAATTACATATGCATGTTATATGAGGATAAAAAACAGTTATTTTTATTCTGGCATAAGAACCAAAAACTTACCAACCAAAACGAGTAATTCACACTAAGCTAAACTTAAGCTCATGTACATTTAAACAGCAAATTAAAACAAAGGTCAAAATTTACAAAAAACAAAAAAGAAAGTCAGTCAGCCACGATCTACAACTGCAAATGAACTACCCAAGGAAACTATGTACTGACTGAAAAGGAAAAACCTGTTTTAGTGACTGGAAATGACTCCCAAATCCCACATTTCAGAGTATATAATGGTAAAAGGGAAAAAAAGCCACCTCTTTTCCCCCAACATAGGAGAAAAGTGGCAGCGTGGGGTGGGATGAGACCCGTTTCCACGCATGCACGGACGTGGGAAACTGACATGACACATGGAGTGGGGGAGCCGGCCTGTGGGCTGCAGTAGAGCACATCCATGTGTAACTGTGCATTCATCTATCTACACGCCTGTAAGCACGTACATATCGTGCAGACGTGCAGAGGGCCTGTGCCCTTATGGGGGGCCACTGCATCACATCGGCGCACAGAAGGGGCAGCCAAGTGCTGCATACCACGAGCAGCTTGCAGATGCCCGCTGTGCTGCCCTCGGCTCGCTCACCGCCCAGAACGCACGTCTGGGCTGGGACTCGGCCCCTGGGTCTGCACCTTCAGTACCTGACAGCCTCCGAGAGAACTACGGGCCCCACCCCGCTGACCAGCATGCTGAGCAAGGCGTGGGAAGGCTGCCCCGGGTTCCATGTGCACTCAGCCTCTACCACAGGCCATCCAGCCCAGACCTCATGAGGAGGCAAGTAAAATCCTCAACCAATCTCTGCAGGAACCAGGTCTAGGAAAAAAACCAGTATTCCTCGGAACACCTCTCGACACCTGGACAAGATGGTACCAATCTGACCGGGAGCGTCGAGCCTAGCTTTAGACTCTCGATGCACATTTCTGAGTCTGATTAGAAAAGGAAATGACCTGTTTTTTAAAATGGGAAGGACATTTTAGCCACAGACTGACACACAACTCACACACAATGACTGCGCACGGGATGCGGTGGCCAACACTTAGGGCACACAACAGGCCAGGCAGGAAACAATGCGAAGACGGTTTATAAAAGCCACGTGCTTCGGCCCTGCAGGTGGCATGGTGGTTAAGGGCGCTGGACTCCCACATGACTGACTGCGGTTTGAGTCCTGGACCTGGCGGCTTGCTTTCTCACTTTCCCTCTCCCTCTACCTCTTACCCTCTCCCTCTCTGGTCAAACTTAAAATTAATTAATTTATTAAAGTCAAATAAAATAATTCTAAGAAAAACAAAGAGACAAAATGCTTTTGAAGGGACTTCAAATACATTTAAACCAGCAGGTGACATGATGGTTGGTTAAGGTGCTGGATCCCACATGGTCCACCTGTGGTTTGAGCCTTGGAACCTGCACCTTGGAAAAACATGCTGGGCTTGTGTGCATATCCAGAATCCAGAGAGGAGAGAGAAGGGGTTGCTGTGTGGCCATCCCCCCCAGGAGTGAGTTATCATTTTCCCCCCATCTCTCTGGCAAGTACACAGGCCCTATGACGAAAATCAAATAATAAAAAGAAACACATTCAAATAATACATTGGAACATGGTACAACAAAATGACAACACAGAACACTTTCCCATCACGGGCCCCACTCTGATGCCTGTGGATATGGGTCATATGTAGATGCACCTAATATGGCATCTTTCTAGAGATTATCAGGCTCGCCACTTACCCAGACCCCAGGTTTGAAAAATCATACTGCGTTTGGTACATTCGCTTCTGTGAAATAGTCCCACCATCACGAGAGTTTATAGTGACAAGATTTACAGTCGTGAAGAAGGTAACACCATTTTATCAACTTTATGGGAAAAAGTGCTTCATTTGCATACACTTCAGTTAAATGAGGTAGTTAACAATATGTATTTCAAAATCACTAGAAAGGATTTTGAATATTCTCACAAATGATGAATTTCCAAGGGGATGACCCTCCTCATTTGATCATTACACACTGTATACGTAGAAACGTCACACACAGCATGTACAATTGTCAGTTAAAAATAAATGGGAGGACCAGCAGTTGGCGTAATGGCTATGTCGCTGGACTCCCATGTAGTTGACTGTGATTTGAGTCACAGACCTGGCAGCTGAAATTCACACTTGGTGCATTTATGTGCATGCCCAGGATCCCAGGAAGAGAAGGGATTGTGGTGTGGCCATCCCCCTTGGGGGGTGATTTCTTGCTATCTCTCTGTCTCTCTCTCTTTCTGGCAAGAAAGCAAATGGCCTATAGCAAAAATTTCTCTCAAAAGAACCATAATGGACCAGCAGTTAGCATAATGGCTATGTCGCTGGACTCCCACATAGTCGACCGTGGTTCATGTCCCGGACCTGGTAGCTTAAAACTCATGCCGGGCACGTGTGCGTGCATGCCCAAGATCCCGAGAGGAGAATGGAGAAGGGATTGCAGTGTGATCATCCCCCCTGGGGGGTGACTTCTCACTTTCTGTCTCTCTGTCTCTGGCGAGCACATGCGCCCTATAGCAAAAACCTCTCCCAAAAAACACCCAAAAAACAACAACAAAAAATGATTAAATGGGCCATCAGGTGGCATGGCCATTAAGATGCTGGACTCTCAAAGCTGTGGTTTGAATCCTGGATGTGGCGGCTTCAAAATCACGTTGGGCACATGTGCATGCGTGCCCCCCAAAATCCTGAGACGGAATGCAGAAGGGAGTGGGGTGTGGCCACCCTCCCTGGGGGTCATTTCTCACTTTCTCTAAGTCTCTGCCTCTCTCCGGTGGGTACATACACCACAGGGCAAAACCCTAAAAATAGTATAAATAAAGCAGGTGCATACAGCAGTAACAGGCAGATGGTGCTCACTGGCTATGACTGCCAAGCTGCTGCCGGCGGCCGACACGTGTTTCATGTCCAGGAACAGAGCTGACATTTTCTAATATGAAAGGGGGTCTCAACGGCAAGAGTAACTGCCACACGCAAACTCAAAAAACACCTATAAAAAGATGGACGGCTCACCTGACTTACCTGAGAGACACCCTCAACATCAAATTTATACCAGACCTTTCGTGATACACACGGGGGTCTGGAGACGCAATGGCCATGCCACGGCAGAGGTGCCAAAGTTCGGGTCACCTTGCAAACAGCAAGCATGCTCACTGCCAGACCACTGAAACCTCTTTACAAGCTACGGAACATTCACGACAAGCAACAACAGAAAGAACAAAAACCAGGCACAGCGGCAGGTTTTAAAAATAGTTATATTTCAAACAGGTACAACAAATAAAAAAACTCTAACTCAGGCGAGCAAACACGGGTGCGGGTGCTCAGAGTTACGTATACACGTTCACATGTGTGGTGTCTACACTCCCCTCACATCCTCCCCTTCATTAAGCGGCCCATCTTCAGAGCGGCAATAAGGGGGAATCTCCACCGCCGCACATGAGTCCTCCGGCCACATTACCACCTGGGGATGGTCTCATCTCGAAGGCGTGTGCAGCCAGGAAAAGAAAACAGGTTAAAGAAAGGAAAGCGATGGGTCCCTCCCACCCACGAGTGGCCTCACCTGCAGGTCTAGCTTTCTTCACGCCAAAGGCTTCCGAGTCTTCCAAGCATCTCTTTCGATTCGTTCCCAGATTAATGTGGTTAGGAAATACATTCTGAGGACCCCCATTTAAGGTGCCATTGGTATAGAAACGGTTCAGATGACAGTTCTGAAGGTTCGAGAGGAACTGGGTGCACTCTTGGAAACCCTGGGTCTGGGCAATGTCTGCTGCCGTCAGGCCACTGGCATTCCTCAGGCTGTGTGACACAAGACACTGGATTACGCCCCGCCCCGCGAGCAAGTGCCCGGCTCAGCTCCTGACGAACTGACTAGCTATCTGACAGCGCACAAAAGGGTAACAGTCTACGCACAGTTAATCATCCTAAGCTGTGTAACTAACTTATCTTATACACATCTGATTGCTAAGCAAGATTTGGGAGATAGCACTTTTTAAAAATCAATATACTTAACGTTTAAAAAGGCAACTTCCTATTTAACTTCTCAAGATGTGTTATGGTAGTCTGAAGACCTAAGTTTACGCTAACTTCAGACTTAACCTGAAACTGCGGCTACCCTTAACTTTAATAACCCATTCCTTAGCCTGAATGAAATCACAACAGACAGACATGTACTGCATTGTCCATGGCATTTAAGAGCGGGCCTCCTACAAACGGCAGCGGCGTAGCCCGCTTTACACTGGCACGTGACACTGTAAGTGGAAGCACACGGACTCCCTGACCTCTGAGTAACTCTTCAGCCTCGAGATCTGAAAAGCTGAGTGCTTCTGTATTCTGTTTTAGTTTCTTTGTCTTTGCTTAGGAAAACCCACCGGAGTAACTACACTCTGGAATGTGAGCACATTTGAGAGGACGTGCCCTGGAGAGAACCCTTCAGGCCTGCCCTGGGCATTCACCCCCTGGGCTGAGAGTCCACCAGCCGAAGAAGCATGGTCACTTGGTGGTGCACCAAAAGCACAGGCCTGTGCCTCCTACTGCAGCACGGCTCGGAGGAGAGCAGTCTGCCAGCAGGATGCGAGAAAGATCTGAGGAAGAGAAAGAACGGGCTGAACTTGGAAGCCTTAATGAGAATACGGAGTTAAAGCTGAGGGAGCAAAAAGCAACTCCATTTTGCCGTCCCCGGAAGCCCAGGATGTACACTGCTGTAGGAAGCAAATGTTCTGTTAACTGCAGGCAGAGGGGCTGCGTGGAGACGTGCTCGGCAGCCATGACGTCTCCTCCCTGGTCACAAACTGCTGCACACACAGCAAGAAGGTGAGAAGGCAAAGGCCGGACCCAGCACCCTACGCTCGTCCTTCTTGGGGTATCACACACACGTGTGCACACACACCTGGGAGCACAGTGCGAACCACAAAGCCAGGATGGAGGACTGGTCTCTCTACATGTGCATCCACGCCCTAGCCATCACTCGTAAGGCCCAAACCTTAGACATAGGTGTCTGCAGGCTCTGGGTACTCACGGAGCGTGTCTCTGCATTTTAAAGCACGGGACAGAAAGAGGTACTGCACCTGCTGAGGAGAGGTCCAAACCACTCGGATCAGGCATGGGAGACGTGACCGGAGAATCTCAGAAACAACATTCCTTAAAAACAGAAGGCGGGCGAATGTAGGGCTCTTAGGGACGAAAATCAAAATGTATCTGCCCAAAACTTTCTGGCTGTGAATTCTGATTAATTTTCTGTAAATTTCCAAGTATCAATAGATATGTAGCAAGTTTTAATATATAAAGTAAATGGAAAGAGAATACAGAGGTTTTGTCAGACTGAATTACGCGAGTTACCTATGTCTAAAATGAAGCCAATCAGTTACTGAAGTGTAACACAAGTGTGAATTTTTGTAAATGGCATTTCATTTTAGACGGATCTAGGAAGGTCTACTCTGTCAAGAATGTGAAAAGAAAGAACAGTTACCATATGGAAATTTTAAACCTCTTCAAAATTCGAGGAGGTGAAGACTGGAACATAAGCAAAGTTGATGAAATAACCATTTCATAAGTAAGCCTGGACTTGGCTCTACGTGGTCAAAGATAGACAGAACACGAGAAGCTACTGTTTAATATTAGGACAAATGAAAAGCACCAGCTTAAATAAAGCTGAGTTGGAATTAGTGGATCAGAGAGTAAAAAAGCACAGCAGACAGATTTTCATAATGGTATTTGCCATAGAAAATGTCCACCCACTAAGGAACACTCACAGGCTCCTGGGGTGGGCCACACTGCAAAGCTGCAAAGAGAATGCCCCATACACGCTCAAGTCCTCACTCCTCTCAGGAGCTGAACACTTGACTGCATTTGGGCTGGAACAATAGGTTTTTTATTGAAGAAAATACAAGCTTAAAGAAAAGCAAGCAAGCAAGCCCATACGTGGAGATCGCGGCCTTGGCTGATATCATGGGCAAGGTCTCCCCTTCTTACCAGAATGAGCCAAATGCTTGCAGAGGCCACTCTACTCAGAATGGAGATGGGTCAAGTCTCCAGGTGGTCTTACGGGTTATCTTCAACATTTACTTTCACAGAAAGAAGAGTTAAAAGGCTGACCGCCAGCTCATACTACACGGGACCACGCAGGCAAGTAGTGACCCCCCAGTCAAATTGAACGCCTACTGGCTTCCCATGCAATGTGGGGCTTGGGACGTAGGGGTGAGAGGGAGAGCAAAACATTCCAGAGCTGGTTCTGGACAGGAAACAGGATCTGGAACACAGACTAGTCAAGAATGAATTAGGTGGAGAGTATAATTCTGCATAGCATGATCCAAGTGAGAGTCAGAAGTAGGAACAGAGGTGTCCTCTCTGCCTCTAGTGAGTTACCAGAGGGTCAGCAGCTCTCGGGTTCTAGGAACTGAATGTAACAACATAGAGTTTGACTTAACAGCACCGAGTTCTTTTCAATCTGTGAGATCATGTCTGACTCTTGGCATGCAACGAAAACCAGCCAGCACCCTCCAGTGCCCAGATTGCTGTCCTCCTTCCCATTGCCTCTCCTATCGCCTACACCTACTACTGGACTACCCAAGTCTTCTCAGCTCACGTGAAAAAGCTGCAGGTTGGAGGGTCAGCTCTCAAGTGTAGAGTTGAAGCTAGTCTGAAATGATCATCGGGAATCCCGTAATCCCTAACGTAGTTTCAGAGGGGGCACTTCTTGCGTAAAGGCCTGGGCAGTACAGAGTTTAGGCTTTCCTGGCCCGACTACCCTGGCTCTCGCTGTAGTCTGAGAGGTCAGAGGGTGGTGCAGACGCTGCAGACGAACCTGCAGAATCGGCAGATTTGTGTGTGACCATTTAGAAGTGTGTAAGCTGGTCATAGCTTACAGACCATATACAAGGAAGCCTGGGTTTGCTGAACAGAAGGACAATTCTTCTACTCTTAATTGGTTTCCTGAAAAATGTCTATTTATTGGTTTTGTGTACTACTTCATTCAAACAAAAAGATTTTTTAGAGTTGCCAAATCTCAGGGCTGGCAGATGGCGTGGTGGTTAAGGGGGCTGGACTTTTACATGGCCGATCGTGGTTTAAGTCCCGGACCTGGAGGTTTGCTTTCTCATCCCCCTCTCCCCACTCTGCCCCTCTCTAGTCGGGTATAAAATAAATAAATAAACTTAAATAAATGTTAAATAAAATAATTCTAAGAAAAAAAAAAAAACCTGCCAGATCTCTCACAAAATGTTAGCCACCATGAAAAACATCTGAAGGTGCACTTCAGGAGGCTGTAAAGCGAAAGGCCCTGCGAACGCACGCCGCGGAAGAGGCCATCCCTACGGCACCAGGCGCTGCCTGTCACACGTTCTCGTGCCTTACGCGGAGATCAGGAAAGGGGTTTTAATATGGACAAAGTAAGTTTTTATAGTTTTGATTTCAGATGTGTTATAAAGGCTGAAAATCTCATGGGTTTCCAAATCAAAGGTCAGAATAAATAACCACCGGTAATGTGTAGTGCTCTAAAACCTCAATTTTTAAACAATAGGTCTTTAAATTCCATTTTCATACCTGGCTTCCTCTTTATCAAGCAGTTATTTTGATGTGTGAACGGCTAAAGCAGTAATCCTAGTTAAAATGTGTGAAATTTATTAAGCCTTCGAACTTAGGCTTCAGTTTGAATAGATACTGAAATGAAATCTAAGCTACTCAGCTCTATCTTCCCAAACTCCACCAGGAAGTGGGCACAGGGACAGTTCACACGTTTTACGCTCACCTACCCAGCCACCCTTCACCCTTCAATCCATGATGGGTACTGACTGTGGACGACCACACGGGAACCACCAGCAAAGACAAAACTGATCGCACTGCAGTCTTCACACCTGCAATTCTGCGGGTTGTGTAAAGCAGGCAAAACTGCATAAAAAATACTCTCAAATTGTATTCTGAATGAAAACTGTGGCAGTAAAACTGTGCATATTCTTAGGTGAACTCTTTAAAACACATACTTTTGCCCTCTTTGGTGTGATGCACTTAGACCCCATCCTGCCCAGGAGGCACGAGTGTGTGCCGGTCACGTTACAGCCCTCGTCCAGCTCTTTGGGCTCTAACACTCTTTTCTTACATCTGTAGAAATGGGCAGAGAGAGTTGACTTGATGCTTAAACTAGTTCCAGTTTAAGCTTTAAGAAACTGATTTTCTTGCCAAGTAAGTTTGTACACAATCCAATTTTTAGGCTGGCAACTTGTAGTTTATTACAGAAGGATCATTTGGTAGAACTTATTTAGTACTTGGTTCTCATGCTGCGGAAGCCACAACCCTGCGCATGGCGGCTGCTACAGGACTCCCAGGACTGCTGACAGCACTGGGATACTAAAGCACACGAAGACTCAGAATCTTAGCTGTGAAGTAATGTTCGGCCGAGTAACTGGCAAAAATCAACCTAGCTGGACTAACCTCACTCAGGTGAAACCACCAACGCTTATAATGCTATGTTTTTTATGTGACTGCCCTGAACAAGGCATTAACTCTCCTCCAAAGAACTTCCAGACCGACCAAGCCCTGATGCTGCCCGTGGATGTCCGTCCGTGTTCCACTTATAGTGCCACGACACCAGAACGCAGGCTGTCCCGATGGGAGCAGTTTGAGTTTTGTTTTGTAATTCTGAAAAACCACAGGTCAGGAAATACCTGAAATACAATATCACATCACCTCAGGATGTTTATTTTATTTTTTGGTTAATGCCATGTGACAATAAAGGATAACCACGATTTTTATATAAATAGTATTTCTGTTAAAATTCTGATCTCAACTTAGCTATTGTTAGTTTA